AAAAAAATTAGTTCAGTGTCGGGAAACCCATAATATTCCCCCCTTCCAAAATAAAAAAAAACAATGTATAGTTCTGCATAGAGTGTAATTTTGAAAGGAAAGTTGACTACTTTGTGTAATACAGTAGAAAATTTTTTTTCTACAATATCTACGCAAAACAGCCCAAATATGGGTCGAAAATTTAGAGCGACTATGTAAGATTATGTAAATGAGGTAAGAGCTTATTGGCATAGTGAAATTAGATAGTTGAACGTCACCTCGTGGCCCCGATATTGGCCGAATTCATATTAGAAGACGAGAAACTCGTCACAGACGGAATTCCGTCAGACAGAATACCGTCTAATGTAAAATCAAGGACGGAAAACCGTCTTAAAGTCGCGACCGATGTAAACTGTAAAACACGGTAAGACAGAAAAAGTTTCGGGCGATCAGGCCATATATGTTGCGAAGAACAAAACATGGCTGCCATCATGTTTGCTCAAAACATCTTGTCAACAACGAGAAAGCGGAAGGCTCAAGATTTCATAGAGTAGTTAAGAAGGAGACATGGAGGTTCTATAGCACGAAATTTTATTTGAGGAGGAGAATTCAATTCAAAAGATTGCAGCCGCTGTAGTCTGCTCATCAACAAAACTGGAGCGGAAAGAAAAAGGTCCCGTGGAGCAGAGAGATTGTCTATGGTGGCAGCATGGATATCATAACTGGACAAACGAAGAGGTCAAAAAGAAGGTTTAGAGTAAATAGCGATACCTTTAATTTTATACTGAATGCTATGGAAGATCTTATCACAAAAGAAATCACTAAATTCAAAGAACCGGTATCGCCAGATATCGCCAGATCGCCAACTAAATTAACTATGTGAGCTTAAGTACCGTTTAGCTCATGGATGTTCCTATTCAACAGTCGGTGATCTTTTTAGGGTTGCCTCTTCTACAGCTTGCCAAATCAGTTCAACGAAGTCATTTGTGTTATCGTTCAAGTGTTTTATGATGAGTACGTGACTGAAAGTTGACCAACAATAATTTAAAATGCCGAGGCACATTTTTTCGAGTGTGGCCGCGCACTTTTAATGCAAATTAGTAAAATGTCTTAAGTGCTCTTAAGGTTAGGCAAAAAGGATCTTTATCGATGAGGATAAACTTGTTTTTGTGCTCAAGTATATGCTCCCACAGCATTTTGTCCATACATTGTTGAAGTTGCCAACACAACAAAATTAAAGAGTGCTCGATGTAAAGCTAGGGAATCACCTTAAAAAGTTAAAAACACTATCTAAGATTAAAGACTGCGGATGTTATTTAATTATTGTTATCAAGCAAACAAACAACAATTATTGAGAAAAGACTAACAACTGCACACTGATAAGAACAATTTTTTGCTCGGCCGTAACAATGCTTTGCCCTTGAGCCAGGAAATTAAATAACGAAAGGAAAATTGCCAAAATTCTTTGCAGCTTTCTTTGAGTCTCTTCGTAAAATTGAAATTGGGCTCTTAGATGAAGGCCTTTACCTCTTTCTTTTAGATTTTGATGAGTGCAATAATGGTATCCATGACTGTCTTTCGAATGCCACCTGTATAAACACCGCTGGTTACTTTGAATGCAAGTGCAAAGACGGATACATCGGAGATGGACGCAACTGTACAGGTAAAGATCAGTTAAAACACATTGTCTTCAGCATTTATTTTAAGTATTTTTGACCATGCAACTTCAAAAAAATTATATCTCAGCTGTTATTTATAGTGCCATATAAAGCTATACCTTATTGGACAGGGCAAAAATTCAAATTTCAAAAAAAAATTAGTTCAGTGTCGGGAAACCCATAATATTCCCCCCTTCCAAAATAAAAAAAAACAATGTATAGTTCTGCATAGAGTGTAATTTTGAAAGGAAAGTTGACTACTTTGTGTAATACAGTAGAAAATTTTTTTTCTACAATATCTAAGCAAAACAGCCCAAATATGGGTCGAAAATATAGAGCGACTATGTAAGATTATGCAAATGAGGTAAGAGCTTATTGGCATAGTGAAATTAGATAGTTGAACGTCACCTCGTGGCCCCGATATTGGCCGAATTCATATTAGAAGACGAGAAACTCGTCACAGACGGAAGTCCGTCAGACAGAATACCGTCTAATGTAAAAGCAAGGACGGAAAACCGTCTTAAAGTCGCGACCGATGTAAACTGTAAAACACAGTAAGACAGAAAAAGTTTCGGGCGATCAGGCCATATATGTTGCGAAGAACAAAACATGGCTGCCATCATGTTTGCTCAAAACCTCTTGTCAACAACGAGAAAGCGGAAGGCTAAAGATTTCATAGAGTAGTTAAGAAGGAGAGATGGAGGTTCTAAAGCACGAAATTTTATTTGAGGAGGAGAATTCAATTCAAAAGATTGCAGCTGCTGTAGTCTGCTCATCTACAAAAGAGCGAAAGAAAAAGGTCCCGTGGAGCAGAGAGATTGTCTATGGTGGCAGCATGGATACCTTAACTGGATAAACGAACAGTTTAAAAGAAGGTTCAGAGTAAATCGCGATACCTTTAATTTTATACTGAATGCTATTGAAGATCTTATCACAAAGGAAGTCACTATTCAAAGAACCGGTATTGCCAGATCGCCAACTTGGATTAACTATGTAAACTTGTGTACCGTTTAGCTCATGGATGTTCCTATTCAACAGTCAGTGATCTTTTTGGGGTTGCCTCTTATACAGCTTACCAAATCAGTTCAACGAAGTCCTTCGTGTTATCGTTCAAGTGTTTTATGATGAGTACGTGACTTTACCAACAACCGAGGATGGGTGGAAAGCTGAACTGGATGCCTTCCTTAAAGACTGGGGATTTCCTTGCTTAGGCGCATGGGACGGTTTTCACGTTTACGTTAGCAGCAATTTGAAGAAATTTTTTAACTTTAAGAAAAGAGAAAAGATACTCTGTTAGAAATAAGAGATTGATAGCAGCCAACAAAAGATTTCTTTTGGCTGAGGTAGGTGCTCCTGGTTCAGTACATGATTGTACTCTCTTACAATTCTCACCAATTTTTCATGAGATAGAATCTGATCTTGTACTTCCTCATAATGTACTAAAGTCACCTTAGGGTAAAATTCAGAGCAAATTCCTCTAGGGATGGTGCGGGACAGTGCCTTTCCTTCACGCCCCTGGCTCCTGAAAGCTTACTCAGATACAACAAAAAATCGAAAAGAACGGTACTTCAATAGAAAATTAAGATCTGCCAGGGTTGTTTCAGAACATGCCTATGGCATGTTAAAGGGAAGATTTCGTTTTGTATACAAAAAGGCAGAATGTAGGAGGCAGAATATGAAAGCTGTTATCATGGCCTGTATTAATTGCACTTCACATTTGTGTGTTGTGAGGTCTAATTCGTGTCTCCCGTGTTGGCAACTCAGGGTGGAGAGGCTTAATCTAATTGAGTCTGACAAGAGTGGAAGAAATTGGCTCAGAAAGAATACAAAGGTTGGAGACACGATCAGGATGGAAGATGCGTTCACTGGAGACTATGTCAAAAGTTTGATTTTGATCGCTCCCACAACCGCTATAATTACGAGTCGGAGGAATGTAGGTACTATAGAATCTTCCTATTCAAACTGCAGTCAGCATGACAATAAAATTGAGCACAACAGACCAGACATCATAGTTGAGGATAAGAAGGAGAAGAGCGACGCATTATAATAGATATCGCATGCCCAGTTAACCATGGAGTAACTCTTAAAGAACAAGGAAAAATGGAAATTATTAGGACATGAAAAGAGAGGTGAAGCGTCTGTGGAACTGTAAAGAAGTTGTGCTTGTACCCATCACCATTGGTGCCCTCGTAACAGTCAGCAAAATATCCCAACCGTACCTAAAGAAAGCAGGATTTGACGGCAGTACGCAGCCACTGGACAAAGCTGAGTTAGTTTTAGGACAAGTATAACGTCACAATAGCCGTCGTGTACGAACACCCAAAACGAACTCAGGAGATGCTGTTCGCCGATGGGGCACGGTAATGCAAAGCATCTCTTGTGCCCAATCAGAAGCCAGAATTCACTTGACCGTTTGGAAATGGTCTCGTAAGTAACTATAACTAGGGGCTTTTCCGCCCTCGCTTGACTTTCGTCGTGCCTTTTCTCCCGACCCGCCGACTAAGGCTCCGAGGATGGTGTGCCGATATAACAAAGGATATCACTAAACAATACCATATATTTCTACAGCTGGCAAACCTTATAAATAGTAGATTTCTTAGCTAGAAAACTCAAAGAAGCTAAGCTCAAACAAAAGCTTGAGTTGTATGTCCGACCCGGCAATTGGGAAAAAAATGGACGTCCCCCTCGTGAACAATAAAATAGTGTAAGAAGACTGCTAGCTCTGTCACCCAAGCGTCTGATTATAAATATAAGCAGAATTATTCTGGAGGTACTGGAAATCACAGACCCCATAGTAGGAAGCCTTTTTTAGGCCAGAGTAAGTCTTGAGCTGTCACGCGTTCAGGAGAACACAGTAGACCCCAAACAAGTTGAGAAGAGAGAGGAAACATTAACGTTAGTTATTTTGGGATGGCAATCAGTTGTTACATAGCCGTCGTTCTTACCCTTCAATTGAGGACATTTCCCTTTAGCCTGAATGACGCATAAAGTTGTTATGTTACTAACTCTGCTAACTGATAAACGATCACTTGTTTGGATGTAAACCACATGGTTCCGTAGAATCAAAAATACACTTTTTTACCTAGCCAGTCTCCAGGAAGTCCCGACTAGAACAACATTGAACGAGAAGCGTTTTCAAGGACCCTAGTCTATGTATTATCCAGCATACGAAAGTATATGTCAAAAAGACTAGCATTTATGGGCCCTACCAGAAATCAATTGCTGCCACGTTTTCAGAAACCACAGTGACGCAAACCTTTGAGAAATGTACAACATTGTGGATGGACCATTAACACACTCGGATCAGCTGGAAAGTTTCCAGAATTTTTCACAGAGCATGAATTTTGAACATTGAACTGATATTTATTTTTTTACCTTTCTCTAGAATGTCAAGATGCTTTGGGTATGGAGAACGGAAAAATCTCTAATGGTGATATCACTGCCTCCTCAGAGGTGATTATCGAGCACCACGCTTACCAGGGTAGACTGAACTTCAAAAAAGATAAAGGCAAAATAGGAGCATGGACAGCAAGGGAAAGAAGTGACACACAGTGGCTCCAGGTTGATCTGGGCAGTCAGTTCACAAGAGTAACTGGTGTAGCGACACAAGGAAGAGGAGATAGAGACACATGGGTTACGAAATATAAGTTGCAGTACAGTAACGAAACAACGCAATTCCAATGCTACAATGAAACAGGGCAAAACAGGGTAAGGCAATATTATATTCCTTGAGTGCTCGTGCGTTTAACCGAGCTATCAATATCTCATTCTGGAAATATTAGCTAAAACAGGTGAATGGTTTGAACCAAAGAGTCATTTCATACTAGGTTGACTGACATGATTTTCCGGAGTAGCCATTTTTAGACACTCAGAGAACGTTGATATAATTTAGACGTCAGTTTGGTCAATTAAATCGCGATGGTGTTGGTCGTCTGCCAGTTAAGCTGTGATGTTCACTTGTTGGCTATGAACACTCTAAATGTGTTAAGTCCGTTTCGAACCGTAACGACTTTTCTACGCAAATCACTGAACACCAAAACGAACGACAATAAATGGTGACTTCGACATTCACAAAACTAATGCACATTGCCGAAAAATACATCAATTGTCACCCTGCGATAGTGTTCTACTACCCTGCGAACAGAGTCTCCTTCGATCTTCCCAGATAAGTCGGAAAGATGAAGGAACCTCTGCCGACATCCTCGATTATTCATATTGAGCATGTTCCAAATTCAAATTTTTCTGCGACGTCAATCAAACCGTTACCGTAGCGTCCACTGTGTTTGTCAGCAAATGTAAATGTTAGCAGGAACGTACCAGTTCATTTTCGCCCTTCCGTATCTGTGTTTCCTCTGGATTTGGAAACTCTATAGGAACCATTTCACCTTTGGAATCTAAACTTGCCACGTTTCAGTATAAGAATTAAAAAAAACTTGGAACTAAGGTAAAACTTACGGTGCTTTTAAAAAACAAAGCAACGAACCTTGAAACACAGAAACACACAAAACGGAACGAAATCCAACAACCACAAATCACAAACCACGGCCTTTCGTTTCCTAAGAGGTTCGCTAAAATGTAAAGGCGAGAAAGCGAAGAAAGCGCCGCTTCTTCAGATTTTGATCGACATCGCAGAAAAACAGAAAATCCAAAGACGCTTAGATAGATAGATAGATAGATAGATAGAGAGATAGATAGATAGATAGATAGATAGATAGATAGATAGATAGATAGATAGATAGATAGATAGATAATCTTGATTTATCCACGGTACAAAATTCGTCAGCTTTAAAAATGCCTAATACTAATATAATAAAAATATTTAAATAAAAAAGCTGCTTTCCACGAATGCCGTGCCTTACAGTTCTTTGAGTAATCGTTTAAATTGCCCAAGGGACTCTGCTTCCCTTAAGTTACAAGGAGGACTGTTCCAGAGAATGGCACCATTATAGCTGAAGCTGTTTTTGTAATAGTTTGTGCGCGGTAATGGAACATTGAGTTTATTTTCAGAGTCCCTTAGGTTATATGCGACTTCTCGCCTTTCAAATTTAGATCTAAGATAGTTTGGAGCCAACCCGTGCAGAGACCTGTAAACCGTCGTAGCTCTTTGAAATTGTTGCTGGCAAGCTAGGTTTTTCCGCCCTAGAAGTTTGAAAAGGTGACCAGCATCTACGTCATAGCTTGAGTAGGTCAAAACACGGGCTGCTCTGTTTTGTAGCTTTTGAACCTTATTCCGTAAGGTTATCCCACAGTTTCCCCAAACAATGTTGCAATAATCAAAGTGTGGCTGTATTAAAGCTTGATATATTAGTTGTAAGGTCGCCTGAGGGACAAGGTGCCTTATTCGTTTTATGGCCCCAATACCAGAAGCGACTTTCTTTGTTACTTTCTCGATATGGCCACTCCAATCAAGTCTGTCATCGATGGTCACTCCTAGTGATTTTGCAGTAGTGACCTGGCTAACTTCAAAATTATTAATTGCAAATGTCGGGGACTCTGTGAGAGTACTTAGCCTCTGCCTAGATCCGATAAGCATAAATTCGGTTTTAGTCATATTTAGAGTAAGTTTGTTTGCTCTCAGCCAATTATGAATATTTTCTAAATCTTGATTTAGATGCAACTGAATATTGTCTGCATTATCACCTGCGTACGTAAGGTGGGTGTCATCAGCGTACATCCTCGGCTCACAATTTGAAAGACAGTTTGGAAGGTCGTTGATGTATAACAAAAATAATAATGGACCTAAAATCGTCCCCTGGGGAACACCACAACTTAATAAACAGCTTTGAGAGAGCGATCCGTTGATGGAGCACATTTGAGTACGATTCTCTATTCTCTTGCGCATTTCCAGTCATCCGGAAATATGCCTTGACTTATTGACTGGTTAAAAATATCACGGATAGGAATGCAAATGAGATCTGCACATTCCCGAATGAGCCTAGCAGATATCTTGTCAAGGCCAGCTGCCTTTGACCTATTTAGACGATTCAAAAGTGAGAGAACTTTATTTGTACTGGTTGGATGGAGCTGAAACCGTTTATCTGTGCCATTGAGGTACTTTTGATAACCATCACTATTTGAGGAATCAATATTGCTAGCAAGTTCTGGACCAATAGTAGCAAAGTGATTATTAAATTGGTTCGACAGCACAGTTGGATTTGTTATTGATACTCCATTTACTTTCAGAGATGTCACCGATTTTTTCCCAGATTTTCGCGAAGTAAGTTCATTCATAGTCTGCCAGGTCTTTTTAGAATCGCCCGTATGCTTGTTAAAACTATTTTGATAATAGGCTTGCTTGGCTAATCTGATTTCGCTATTTACTATATTGCGTTGTTTCTTAAAAAGTGACCAGTCATTTGAATCATTCGATTTACTTGCTTTAATCTTTAGAATATCACGATCATGCATTCGTTTCTTAAGCTCAGATGTAATCCATGGGGAACTACGCGTGCGAACACGCATTGTCCTCAAGGGAGCATGCTTGTTAACAATAGATAGAAACGAGCATTTCCATTGTAGCCACATTTGATTGGGATCAGTTGAATTGTATATGTGATCCCAACAATGAGATGCAATATCATTCCGAAAATTTATTCGATTAAATTTTCGAAAGTTTCTGTAGGTTATAGCATTGTGCCCACCAGACATTCCATTCACGGATAATTTTCGATAGGCAAAAACTATGCTATGATCGCTAATACTGATATGACGAACCCCCGAACACACAACTTTATCTGGACAATTAGTATAGATTACATCATCAAAGTTGCAGAAGTCGGAGTTATTCTGGTTGGTTCAGTGATAAGTTGCTGTAGACCATAAATATCAGTGATACTCATTAATTTGCATGTATTATTGTCATATCGAGTAGCAATCATGTCGCATTTAAGGTCTCCCATTAGAAAATATTCAATATTTTCGGAATCGAGTTTCCCAATTAAAGTTTCGAAAGGTGAAAAAATACCAATAGGAGAATCAGGTGGTCTATACCACGTGGCAACAACAAACGGTTTAGATCTAGGTTTTTGAATTTCCAGACATAGATTTTCAAGAGTGTCCATGTTTAAATCATTTCGTATGGTAAAATTTATTGAACTTTTCACATAGAAACACACTCCTCCTCCACCGTTTGTAATTCTATCACGTCGAATTATATCATAGCCAGAGATGTTGACCTCATTGTCGCTAATAGTTTCATTGAGCTTAGTTTCGTTAATCGATAAAATATCTATTTCGTTATGCGCTAGAAGAATTCTAAGTTGATCTATGTGTGTGATTAATTTATTGATATTTAAAGAGGCTAATTTAAAACCTCGTTGAGATGGCAACACTGAGGTAGGCTCATGAGATTCCTCAGTATTGCGTTTTGTACATTGAATAGGCACGGCATCGGTGGATAGCGCATCATTTCAACCTAAACTCATCTGAAAGTTCTTAAAAAACTGTTGATTACCTTTAAAATTAAGATGTAGTCCGCCCTTGTTAAGTTACTTTTCGGAGATGTTTTGATGCTGGATAAATTTCCATCCATTCTGCCGGCAGTAGAACTTCAGTTGTTTATTAACTGTTTTCACGGCTTCATTGAATCCGTCTCTTCTTTGCACGAGCTCAGATATAATTACTGTGGCATCGGATGGGTTTTCAATTTGTCTGGCGAGATCTACCACTGAGCCGGCAACTTGTTGTGGTTCTTTACTTTTGAGATCATTAGTGCCCACGTGCAGAATCACTTGGTCCGGTGAAAGCTCCAAATTAGGTTTAAAGTAATCCTTCATAGCTTTGGTGGTGGCACCGGAGACCACCGTTTTTGGCATCGCAGATCAGGTATTATCCAAAAACAGCTGTAAAAACACCGACCATTTAAACTCAACATGGGTTCTATAGCCTCATGATCTTATTTTGAATAGACGTTATTCGTATTCCCCGACGGCCCTGGCACGAGAGACTTCACAGCATGATTGCGAGGCTAAAGCGGGGAACTTTTTGGCAAAAACACAAACAAACATGGGTTAGTCGCGGCTGAACCGCTGCAAAACGATAGAAATCAGCAAAAAACTGCAAGATTTCAAAGCTTAAACCTTACGGGTAAGCTAAAGGGATATCTGTTTCAAAAAACAAAACTGTGGGAAGAGCTGGTCGTACTAACAGCAAAAGTTAAATGCCACGAAGCCAAACGAAGAAACAAGAAGTAATCAAGAAAATGGTATATTGTGTCAAAATGTCAATACTCGAATCCTTTTTATAAAATTTTATTCTTCTTATTATTCTTTTTCTCTTGTGTGTATCTGTAGTGTGGAGTTTAAACTGCTCAGTATTATCGTCTGTACCAAACTCTGTGTTCAACTGCGTGCACGTTTTTGTACTCTCGCACAGTTGTTATTGAAGATAATGTAACTTAAATTTAAAAATAAACTTTACCTAGTCATCTTTGTTCAAACCGGTTTAACTTCCTTAAAATGCACATGGACCGGGTGTAGAACGCTAAGCCCCGTCCTGATAAGTAATTATCCACTGAATGAGTCGTTTGGTTTACTTCAAATACACATTCAAGATTTTGCATCCGCTCTGTTAGAAAATTTCAACTGCAAGGTAGGTTTGATAACATCACTGTTAACTTTATCGCAGGCTTTCGATAATTACGTCCATTTCAATAAGAGATATTCTTCGAAAAGTTTAAAGGACTCTGAAAATTACAATTAAAATGGCTTCGGGGATTTTGAGAACAACTCTGTTTATAATATTAAATTATAAACTCGCTCAACAAGCACTCTTCTTATCAATATAATAATGGTTAGGATCGCTGTTTTTCTTAATAATGACGAGCAGATCTTCCTTTTGTTGTTTGAAATAATGATCTCTCAAGTACGTAAGCCCTTTGGAACTTTACAATGTTGAAAGTTTTCCTTAAATTCTGCAAACTCAGCCGCAGTTTTCTCATATTTATTTGTCCTCTTCGCGAGAAGTTCCCCGCATGAGCCTCGCATTCATGATCAAAGCCTAATTGTCCCAGGACTGTCGGAGAATACGAATACTGTCTATTAATGTTATGAATGAGAAAACACCAAAGAATAGGCATAGATATTGTTTCGTAGAAATATTTTTATTCAAAACTCATTTGTTTATCCTTCCAAGAACTTCGCGTAAAACTTACTGGATTGGAGATCCGTTCACGCAAGTAAAATCGGCTAAGCACATGGTTAAATCCAAAACAAAATCCATCTCAAGTCTGGGTGCATTTTCCAATTTTTCTAAAACTGAACGTTCAATCTATAATTTTCTCAAAATTCCTGCATGAAATTGAAGGGGCAGCTATTTGTTTTGTTATGGAGCGTGGGCGCAGAAAGAGTCCGCAAAACTCCAGAATATGCGTGCGTGCACAGGTATAACTGGTTTATCAGTATGAAACTTGTCTGACTCATCCAAATCGCTGGATGGTCGGCAGATCAAAGGAACTTGAAGATGTCGGCAGAGTCGCTTCCTCTTTCCGACTCATCTAGGAAAGATCGAAGCGACTCTGCTAGCAGGGTAGTGTTCTACAGACTGGTTTACTAAATTATAAAAAAAGGCTGCTGAATACAAATTGCGGTACAGTAACAAAACACAGCAATTCCAATACTACAAGGAAGAACCTCACTTCACAGAAAAGGTAATAGATTTTAAGACTGGAAGCGTGAAAAAAATTTCAAAAGAAAGAAGTATTAAAGACTGACTAATCCTGCCTATCAAGGTGAACAGTCTAGTGTTGATACAATAATCCAAAGATAAAAAACAAACAGAAATGATAAAACGAATAAGGATGTAAAGAAGGAGGTAATTGTTAAGAAACTCAGATTCTAATGAAATGTCATCAATTTGCAGGAATTTGTTGGAAATAACGACAGTAACACGGTTGTCCGCCATAACCTGACAAAAGTTATTACGGCTCGTTTCATTCGCTTTCAACCGACAGAATGGCAGGATGACATATCAATGAGAGTTGAGCTCTATGGCTGTTATGCCGGTAATGTATGGTGTCTTCAGTTGCTGCAATACTAAACCGCGAGTGTAGATACTAGAATAGACGATGAGCAAAGTTCATAAGTTCAACCAACATCCCACAGAATGGTACACAAAAATATCAATAAGAGTCTAAATATATATGATCGTAATGGTAAATAATGGCATCTCTTGAAGTGGCTTAGTTACTAAAAAGAGAAAAATGGAAAGAAATGTGGCTATAAATCGTTGGAGTTACAATGAAAATAGAAGTATCGTTATATGTCTTACATTTACAGTCACTTGTTTTGATTATGTGTCATGATCTTTCCGCTTCATTGACCGTTAGTCTTCTTAAGGTGATGGAGCCATTACACAGTCTGAAGGCAGGTTGGTTCGTGAAGCGACCTTTAGGTGTGTTGTCATGGTTCGATCCATGACATCCCCCGAATACGATATAGGTGCATGCTCTTATTACTCTAAATCTTTGTTAAAAACTCTCTATAAAAAATAAATGCGAAGTATTAAAATGCGAAAATATACTTTCCCCTTTTTTCACATAACAGATAATAATAGATGCCAAGATGCCAGCACTAACTGTGACGTGAATGTTATTTGTCCTTTCAGCTTTTTATCCGTTTGAAAATAAGAATAAAATGATTTCAATTTTTGTTTACGGAGGTAACCAACTGATCGGAAAATATAAAGGAAACCTATCTTGAATTTACAACTACAGCGAGCCTTGCATTGCCACTGAGAGTACTAAATGAACAATGTGCATAATTTCTCTAATTGAAAGCTTCATGCTTTTGAAACAAATGGCAAAACGTTGAGCTTGGGCAAAAAAGGCGATGGTGTCTTTTATCAGCCCAAAGCCAGATGATGAAAAGCGTATTTTAAGAACAAATTTCCAGTCAGCAACAAAGTTTATGTGGACATACAGTCGTCGACTCCCGATAACTCGAACCTTCGCTAACGCGAACCTCGCGCTAACTCGAACCAAAACCGAATTTCCCTGGATTTCCTTCATACATTTATTGTAATTTTACGTTCGATAACTCGAACCCTGGATAATTCGAACCCCCCGCTAACTCGAAGTACTTTTTGTTTCCCTTTAGGTTATTTCTATACAATTTTACCCTCGATAACTTGAACCATGTTTTAAGCGCCTGCCAAGTCGAAAAAAGACATTAAGCTGCAGTTCAAGAAACAAGCGCGTACTCTTTGTCTTTACTTTTTTGTCAGTCCAATTAAATACAATGCTTAGCCATGTACTGATTAATCAAGCTTTCGTGATTTTTTTTTCCCATTTTCAAAATGGCAATATGTATCTTGCTGCCCTTGAAGTGAAGTGTGCATGATACTTGGATTTCCTTATCTCTAGTCATCTGCTTCGATCTCCCAATAAATCGAACTTTTTTCGATTTCCCTTGGAAGGTTAGATATCGGGAGTCGACTGTACAGTTTTCTTCCTCGAAGCGTACCTCCCTCATTCAATAATTGGATAGCTTTGGATATTCTTAGCGTCAGAAAAGCACAAAAACTAGAATACCATGCAGAGAGTACGACGGTTTCCTCCTAAATATATTGAAACACCTTTTAGGCAGTCCAGAGCACTTTTAGATTTCTAGAAATGCATTCTCAGTGGCGCTATAAAATTTGTATCTGTTCGGTCATCCTGGGGGAACTTGAGTCGTTTCGAAATTACAGGGGCTTGAGTTTTATTATTCCGAACATTTTAGACGCATTATTTGACGTATTATGAAAGTGAAAATTTTTCTGCTTCCTCTCTCCATCACATTTTTTAATCCGAAAATTTTAGGTCTCCTTTTTTCTACGAAAAATAGCCTAACCTGGGGAGTGAAATATGAAAAAAATAAACTTAAGAATGAAAAGGTCATTTAGAAATTTTTAGCCGTCCTCAAGTAACAGAAAATTCTAGGCAATGCATGTCTGCTTCTCGTAACAGATATTTTACAGAAAGTAGTCCTTGGGAGCCCCTAAGTAAACGAGGATTGATACAGTTTAATATTGTCGGTTTCCGTTGGTTAAGTTCAAATCTTTAGTTAACAGTCAATGACGCTAGGATAATTTTATATAAACATTTGAATTATTAAGTGATTAACAATTTTTGTTGGAACAACTAGAGTGCCACGATATATATCCTCTGGGAATGGAAAAAGGTCAGATCCCTGATGGAAATATCACCGCTTCTTCAGAGAGGTTTTTCACTCACCATGCCTTCCAGGGTAGACTGAACTTCAAAGTAGATGGAGACGGGGTCAAAAGAGGAGCGTGGACAGCGTGGAAAACAGATGTCAATAAGTGGCTTCAGGTTGATCTGGGCAGTCAGTTCACAAGAGTAACTGGTATAGCGACACAAGGAAGAGAAGATAGAGACAGATGGGTTACGAAATATAAGTTGCAGTACGGTAACGAAACAACGCAATTCCAATACTACAAGGAAACAGGGCAAGACATGGTAAGGCAATATTATATTCCTCGAGTGCTCGTGCGTTTAACCGAGCTATCAATATCTCATTCTGGAAATATTAGCTAAAACGGGTGAATGGTTTGAACCAAGGAGTCATTTCATACTAGGTTGACTGACATGATTTTCCGGAGTAGCCATTTTCAGACACTCAGAGAACGTTGATATAATTTAGGCGTCAGTTTGGTCAATTAAATCGCGATGGTGTTGGTCGTCTGTCAGTTAAGCTGTGATGTTCACTTGCTGGCTATAAACACTCTAAATGTGATAGGTCCGTTTCGAAGCGTAACGACTTTTCTACGCGAATCACTGAACAGAAAAACGAACGACAATAAATGGTGAAAAGGTTGAGTTTGATTGTCTGGGTGAACGTAGTCCTGAATAGGACTGTTGTTGTTGACAGTGACTGACTTTTCGACAACCTGTGCGGTAGTCATCTTCAGAGTCAAAGTGAGTTGTATCACGTCAGTTGATGGTATTATACTCTGGTTATTGATCTGATTGGTCAATTATGTCGCGATGTTATTGGTCGTCTGTCAGTTAAGCCGTGATGTTATTGGCAATGAAGACTCGTAATCAGTGATTGGTGCGTTTCGATCCGTCTATTGTCACAGTTAAACAGTCGTCTATTGTTAGTCAAATTGTCAGTTCTTCAGTTGTTCTCTCGTAGTTAGTTTTGCTTGATCTCTTCAATAAGTCGTTTGTACGGCGCTGGTAACTGTTGGCTTCGATTCAGTGGCGTTTGTTCTAAGTTAGTAAACCAGCCTTCTAAAGTAAGACGTTGATAGTAGTCTGTAGAATACGTTATACATGTTTGATGTTTCGTCTTTAAATGGTGCTCAGCAATGTGATTGTTGACGTCACCATTCCTCGTCGCGCGTTTGTGTTCGGTCAGTGGCGTGCTTAGGTTTCTGCCGGTTTCACCAATGCAAGAAGCCTGGCAGTCGCAGCATTTGATCTTGTATACTGCTCCCTGTCTGTCCTCCGGTTTGTCTTTGTCCTTGACATTAGTAAGCAGTCGCCGTAAAATGGTGACTTCGACATTTACAAATGCACATTGCCGAACCAAAAAATAAATCAATTGTCACCCTACGATAGTGTTCTATAGACTGGTTTAATAACTTATAAAAAAGGCTGCTGAATCAAAATCAGCAGTTATGGGCACCTTAATTACAAATGACTTGTTCACGGACTCAAGCAAAATTGCCAACAATAAAATGAGTACACGACGGACAATTGGACTCACACTAAAATGACCGTTATAACTGTGACAAAAGACGGATCATTCGGACGGTGTAAACTTTTTACCTGCTTTTTACCCACGAATTCATCGGTCACTGAATTTAGAGCAATCTGTGATTAGATTTTTTAGTTTTAGGTTGCTTTTAGTGTAATTTTATTTCTTAAAGTGTGGATAGCTGTGCGGTTCCCCGCCAAAACGTGAGGGTGCCTGAATGTGACATTTCACATCGACAAACATGCCTTCTTCCGTCCACGCTTCTGCCACCACAATACCGACCGAGGATATTCTTAGGATAGCAGAAAAGTCAAATCTTCTTCGATAAAGTTTCGATTATTAAAAAAAGGACACCGAAACTGGATCTGAACGCACGCAACAGTGTAGAGCATATTCCAAATAGTCATTACTAGCGCTACCAGTGTTCTCATTACCTCAAAGTAAATATGTATTTATAAAACTACAAGCGGCATTTGTAAAAGCTGTTACACAGCAGAAGCAATGCTACACTTTTGGCGTTACAATGCTTCATTAAATGTAAACGAAATAACAATAACGCGAATAGCATAGCAGTTATTGTTCGTTAGCAGAAAATAGGTGGTTGGCTCCTCTACTCCCTCTGTGACATCTTTGCGTACTCTTGTTTGAAATTGAAGCCAATATACATAACTTATTTGAACACAACGCCTTGTTTGAAACCAGATGAAATTGGTTTTATGTTCGATTGTTTAAGTGTTCGATTTACGAACGTTCGAATGTGTTCGATTGGTAAAATTTTTAGGCGAGTTCGGTTAAGTTCGATTCCCGAACCCAATCAAAGTCAATCGAACGATTGGAGTTCGATTGGATTCGATTACCGAACGTTTGATCAGCTAGGCCGGCATGGAACATGTACGTCAATGAAAATTAAGTTAACATGTCTTTTCTAGTTTCTTGTTAGTCTGGCCTGGTTGCTGTGGTTGTTGCTCTCGGTCTGCCTGAATAGGTATAACCGTACCAGTATATAAGAGTTGATGACCTCTTATCCAATGCACTTCAATTTTGCTGTTTTATTATTACCTGCACTGTCCATATCATACTTCTTACTAATCTTCGGACGCAGCAGATATAAGTGCGGCAACTTACGGTAGCTACTTTGGATCTAATTTACCCATCTTAATTACGCAAGGCCACTATAACGTCTTGATATAGGGTTGATATAAACCTAAATGGTAACCGATCGAGTGCGCTTAAGAGATATTTTTGTGATAAAACGGAGAGATTATAAGAAATTAATCAGAATTATAAACAATTAATCAGAAATAAGCAAACACTTGTAATCTTCTGACAAATCCTTAAATTTGTAGGTATTCAATGGAAACAATGACAGTAATACTGTCGTGCGTCATAACCTGAGCAAAGTAATTACGGCCCGTTATATTCGCTTTCAACCGACTGATTGGCACGAACAGATATCAATGAGAGTTGAGCTATATGGCTGTTATGGTAAAGTATCTCCACAGCTGCTACATAATTTTAAGTTAATTGTAAGTAAGTATATTATAAGTACTAGCTCCAGTGGGGGTCGGGGAAGGGACTGGGGGTGGTGTCAAAAAATCTTTTTCGGCCCTTCTTCGGGCCTCCGTTTGGTCTAAAAATAATTTAAGGAGGGTGGGGCTCCCGGGATCCGCCACTGAGCTCAGACCCCAATTTCCACTGACCAATTTATTGACACTGGTCAATCACATCGTTGAGTGAAGCGAATCGGAAAGGAGCAGATGGACGTTTTGCCTTTCATTTGCACATGCATGCTAACGAGGTTTGGACAGCTGAACAGGATAGTATAAAAGAATAGGAAATGGATAAAGATCTACTAAAATCGAAGGAAGTCCAGGGCAGGCTCTGGTTTTAAGTATAAGTGGTTAAAAATGGGGCGATATATTTTATTTAACGATCAAAAGGGATAAGCTCACAAAGCTAGAAAAACATGTGTATACATAATGAGTAATCTCCTCCGCAGAACGTACAAAAAGCAATGAAGACTACTAATTTTCACTGTTTTCAGTGCTACGCTCCAAACAACCCCGTAAAGCGGGCCTCAGGAAAAAAAACAAACAAACAAACAAAAACAAAACAAAGCAAATTTGTCTGACGAAGTAAGCAGTAATAGATACAGACAAATTTAACACATCTTTCGGAGAAACCAAACTTATGAAGAAAATAATAATTTTGCTGATCTCAGAGATGACAACTGTGACAAAAGAATTAAAAAATGGTTCAGGTTAATAGTCAACTGGTTCGATTATTATTGTTTGAAGCTCTGCAGTAATTGAGACCATTTTTTTCATCAATGTTTTGCTCCGCTGTAGCAGGTTTAAATTTGCCTTTACTGTACCTCTTTTTCTGCTTTTCTCTTCCGTCATTGTTCAATTCATTTCTCAAGGGCCACAAAGCCTCGTGTACATAAAACTTCCATTTTTTCCCCCAAATCTGTGTACTACTTTATTAAACCTAAACGCAGCCCATTCAAATTTATCAGTCTCTCGTTCACTTCCTACAGATGTTGATGAGTGCAAAAGTGGAAACCATGACTGTAACGTGAATGGAACTTGTTTAAACACCGCTGGATACTTTGAATGTGTTTGCAACGATGGATACTATGGAGACGGACGCATTTGTACAGGT